GTTCAATACTTATTTTACCCACTGTATACTGCAGCGGGAGGGGTTTCCCAGGAGTTTAGCACAGTCATTTATATGGATTTAATTATGATATCAGAATGATCCAGGTATCAAAATGTAGCTTTTAAAGCCAAGAATCTGAAAATGTAATTAGGTCATTTTGACCTAATTTGACTTAATCCTCATTTGGATGTGATGGGTCACATACAGTATATGGACCTAACTGTATCTGTGTTCCTCTGTTAGAGTCATGTAACACCAAGCTGACTGCACTGGAGTCAGTTCTCCTGCAGGAGGATGTTTGTTTCCCCTCAGGGTTTCTGAAGCATGGAGTCAAACATTACTATGTTAGTCAGGACAGGATGAAGGATGGTGTGTTGGTACAGAGAAGGAAATGAAACCTGTGTTCTGTTTCAAAGAATATCTTATTGCAGATTTATTGCAAATCTTTTCAGAGCTGTTTGTCTCTGAAGCACCAAAGATGAAATTACTTCTACCTTCACATTATGCATATTTGTATCAGTGTACGTCTCCTGTGGTCAGATAGAAAATCATTTACCAAGCCACCCACAGCCCTGTTAGAGAAATGATTGTGTTTCTGTCAGTGTGTGTGTGGCACAACATTTTCCCTTTCAGCTAAACTTCACTGTGTTTGCTTCATGGCAGAAAGATGCAGAGGGAAAGGACAGGACTGTGTTTGACATACCAATCTTCACTGAGGAGTTCCTCAACCACAGCAAAGGTGAGATTCTTTTGGCCTCTTTCCTTTTCCTCTAAACAACTTGTTGACAAACTGCTCTGTGACTGCACTGAGTTGACTCTAACATGTTCACTAATCTGTGATCAGCACGAGAAGCTGAGATGAGGCAGCTGAGGAAGACCAACATGGAGTACGAGGAGCGAAACGCAGCCCTGCAGAAGCACGTGGAGAGCATGCGTGGAGCTGTAGAACGGCTGGAAAGTGACGTGATGCAGGAGAGGGAGCGTAACGGGCTCCTCCATCAGCACTTAGAGAGCCTGCGTCAGGCGCTCACCTCCAGCTTCTGCTCCGTGCCTCTGCCAGGTGAGAGCAGCCACCATGGCTTAGAGAGGAGCACAAGCAGGTTCCAGGGCTGTCATATACACAAGTCACAGTTTGTTCCATAGAAACAAGGAAGTCCATCTCACTGAACTCTGGGTGGTTGTAATAAATTGACCAGGAGGCTGTGCAGACACATTGTCAGCAGCCAGTTTTTAGTTGTTAGCAGCTGTTTTTGGTTACAGCACACATCCTCTGTGGCATTGATGGTGGTAGAGTCTGTCTGACCTGCAAAGATTCTCACTGGACTCTGTGGATCCAGTCCATGTGTGAAAATGATGTTCCCTTTCAGTCAATTCACTCGGTACAACATCATGTATGGGAACCACGCCCCTGCGTGTCCTGGCTGAAGCCACCTCTAATCACGCCTTTAGGCAGGTGACGTGATGACGACAGATGTCAGGCTCCGCCTGCACATATAAATAT